ACTGCACCCTAATCACAAACAAAATAAAAATTACAAAAACACTTAGACACTTTATATTGAAGTTGCTAAACACCAAAGATAGAAAGAAGAGTTTGAAGGTAGACAAAGGGGGGAAAAGTACAAAGCCAGAAGATAAGTAAGTTATATATTTCAAAATGTGAAGGAAAAATATCTGCCAACTCAGAATTCTATACCCAATAAAAAATAACTTTCAAAAATGAATGTGGTCCAGATAGCCAGCTCGGGAGCCTTACTTCTCTATGACAGGAGCCCTGGCTTCAAATTTTCCTTTTCACCCCCAGATGATGGCGTAGTTCAGTGGTTGATAAACTGTGGTTTGAGAGCCACATACGGGTCTTTGGCCCCTTGAATGTAGCTCTTTTACAAAGTACCACATGCAGGCATGCACGTACAGTGCAAATGAAACTTCGTGGCCCATGTGCAAAAGTCAGTTTTCAGCTCTCAAAAGAAATTTCAATCGTGTACTGTTGATATTTAGTTCTGTTGACTAATGCGTTTGCCGACCACTGGTGTAGATTATGGGCCAGAAGAGCTGGAGCTGGACTGGTTTGATTCTCTAACCTGTCTGGGCTTCCAACACCCTTCTGTGTGCTCCCCTTCCCAATAGGACAGGTATTGGGCAGGTGTTTGGACAGTCTCTGAGGTGTGGGGATGATCTAAAAAGTCATTGGATGATCTTACTTCTCTAGGCAGGAAGAAGGGTGAGATAATTTGGCCTGGTTCAAGGGCTATGGACTATGGACTACGCCCATGAACTATTTAGCATTTCTGCTAAAAGCATAGAAAATCATTAGTAACTCAAAGCCACAGGTGGATGCCCCATAAAACCATCCACGTGGTCCTCCCAAAATCTTGTCATTTCTAATCTCCTTTGTTTGGGAGAAAGAAAAGGAAAATGCAGAAGGGGTCAGAGTAGGGACTTGAATTCCTTTCTCTAGAGCTATTTAAATAAATTAAGCATGAATAGAAGGTTGCAAAACTGTATAATTTTCTTGTCTGTAAACATGTAGATGTATGAATGTTTATATACAATAAAAATTTTTGAAAAGATTCATGGCAAAATATTAGTATTGCTTGGTGACTACAGGGTGTTTTTATTTTCTTATTGCTTACTACTAGCTTTCAAATTTTCCTATAATAGAGAGTGCTTAGCAAAATAAAATAACTTTAAAGACTGTATGGAAGGTATTGCCAAAGATTCTCATTAACCATTGTGATTTTTCATCACATTTCAGCTTAAAGTGGGGAGTTAGCTATATATCTGAAGTGTGAGCTTTAGTTTGTATGAAAACAACTACTTGGGATTGACTTCTAAAGGGAATCAGGATTTTGGCCCCTTAAAATAACCTATGAATAGCTCAGGCAAGACCATAATAGTCAAAGCTCTCAGAGAATCAAAATGTATAGATAAATTAAAGTTTACATAAATGTGCCAGAAGTGTTCATCTGTGGTGGAAAATAGTGACATAAAGTATAGTTTCAATTTTTAAAACTAGGACTGCCAACGATGACTTGATGTTTATGAATTTAGAGTTTGTAATGACCTGTGGAACAACATGGACTGCTCATACATGTCCACATCCACAATGCCCAGTAGCTTTGTCCTAAAGGGAATCCTTGGGCATTATCATGGGGATTTTATTTTTGCACTCCTTCTGTTGTGGCAAAAGCACAGAGATGTATAATTAGTTGAGTCTTCTATACAAAGAAAATTAATATAAACAATATTTTCCTGAGTTTGGAAAAGGAAGCCTCCAAAATAAATCAGCGTGCAAAGAATTGCTACCTATGTTATGGTCGTTCCTGTTCTACTGTATATTTTCCTACTTTATAAAGCCTAATGTATTGAAAAAATCTCCACAATTTCTCAAAAGATATGGGTAAGGAGAAAATGATTTGTATTCTATTCATTGTTTTTTATATAACATGTTAAAAATACTATTTAATTTATAATAATTTTAGATTGGGTTCATAGAATGTCAAAATTGCCAGGTGGAAATGAGAAAAGAAAAAGTCAATTAATTGTACATTTTATCTTCATGACTAAAATGTAGATATGCAAAATAGCTATAAAGACTAAATTCTTGCCTTTAATGTGTTAGCTAAATTGCCTTCATTTTGTTAATCTAACTATAATGATTTTATATGGTAAATTTTGGTATATATTTGGAAATATATAGAAGATGTCTCTCCAATGTGCTTTCCAGCATTTATGAATAAACTAGAGGCCTGAAGCAGAAAAAATCATGCAAGAGTAGGCCTTCCTTCCTCTGGCTGCCAGCACCGGCTTTCCTCCTCAGACTGCCTGCAGGACCCGGGCTGGCTTCCCTCCACCTAGGCTTCATCAAGAAGGACATCCGGAATGAAGTCAGGGAGATATCTGGTCTAATTAGCATATTGCCCTTTTATTATTATAGATAAGTACACAGAAAAATGGAATTAGAGAGTTTTCTATTATTTAGTGATTGAATTTCAGGGAAGGAAAGTCATTCCATATAAAAATCTACTTAACTAGAATTATTGACATTCATTATTTATATTGTATTTAGAATCCAGTTTTGGCTCAGTGTAATTTTGCAAATCACACATACACATACACACATATATAAAACCTGTAACTGGTGGAGAGGAAAGTGCTCTCAAGTAAAACAAAAAAGATTTCTAGAGAAGGCCACTTCTAATTAATGTAATCGTAAAAGAAAACAACATTTATATATGGAAAGAACTTTCAGGTAGTGCTAATACATTTATGAACATCATAAATTTATAAAATAAAATTTAAAATTGAGGTGTCTTTTTTATAAACATATTTCATGGGAAAATAAACTTCAAATTTAAAAATATGAAAGATTCTTTAGAACTGACATCTGTTAATGAATGCTAGAGTTAAGACATTTACCCCCAAGCCTCTGAGCCTTTCTCTGTATTTCCACTTCAGTGTTTCTCAGATGCTACCTCTCTGTTTTCTTTGATTTGTCTTTCCTAGACTTGTCTCTCTATGTTTCTGTTACTTGTTATCCCTGTTGTTTTCTTTTCATACACATACATTTCCTTCCCACTTCTTCTGTTTCCTGTCTTCTCTCAATGCCTTCTCATGAAAACTTTTATTAAAATATAGAAGAAAAAATAACCCTACCTATGTCTATGAGAAGTAGAAAAATGCCAACTATTCTCCACATTTCTGAGAATACTCTATTACTCTTCATTAATAACTTGTTTCCCTTTCACTTCTCTTCTCATTATTTTTTGGCCTTAACTCTATCACATAATCAAAATTGCTCTCACTAAAGCCACTAAAAATCTCTTGATTTGCACATGCAGTGAAACCTAACTCCTTGTCCTATTAAAACATTTATTTTGGTATTTGACATTTTCATCACTTTGTTCTACTTGACTATATATATTATTGACCAGAATAAAACTATCAGCCTGATTGATGCCTAACTGCTACCAATATTAAAAATTAAATATATTTCATAACACTTAGCTTTCCAGTTGCCCTCCTGCTTCTGATTACTCTGTTCAATAAATTCCTTTTCTGGTCTCTCCTTAGTCTTCCTTTGATGTTAGCCAGGCCTCTTGGTAGCAACAGGAAATTAGTTAATTGATGGAAATTGGCTCAAATATAGAAGTGTAACAGACCTTGGAGGAATCAGTTGAAAAAAGCGGGGTAGGAACAGAAGAAAGCAAAGGAGCCATTCATTCATCAGCCAGAATCATGTCTCCCAACACTTGCTCAGTGAGATCTGCTTTACTTCTGCTGAATTTGGAATGTTAGCTCACACTGACAATGTTATTGTGGATACAGGAAGTATTTGTTGCAGTTTTCATATTTCTGCCTTTGTAACAAATATTCTCTCCCCTAGCCCACCCCCCCCACCCCCTTTTCCGTACATTTTCTTCCTCTTTCCATATTCTACATGTTGCCTAGGTGGGTCTGATTTATCAAATCTGGGTCAAGTCTCCTCACGTTAGGTGTAAGGAGGATAGGAAAGTCATTTAGGCATCTTGAGTGGGTGGGTAATTTCTGCCAGTCACCAAGACGATATAGTATAAAAAAAAAGATTAGATGTGCCATGTATCCACTTTATAACCTCTTTAATATAACTTCCTCTCGTTGTTTTCGGTGCTTTTCTTCTCTTTACTTTACTTGCATTCTCCAATGAATAGATCATTCCTACATATGCCTCAGTTATTCCAATGACTCCCAAAACTATTTCTATTAAACTCTAGTAGACTCATACTACTAAGTGATTTTAGAGGATACTCTCTCCACAAACCAGCCACTGCATCTGAGTTCTAAGTCTCAGTTTTGATGACCATTTTACCCAGTCACCAAGTGACTCCCATCTCCTTTACCCCTTTCACATCTAATATATCACTAAATTCTTTTGCATCTATTGTATATCTTACTCCTACTCATCACTCCCAATACTTGATATGCATTCACATCCTTTGGAGAGGATTTTTAAAATGCAGATATGAACGTTTTCTTGACCCAAACAATCAATTTTTACAACAATACCTCCAATCTATATTTTGCATAAAAAAGGTCCTCACAGTTTTTATGTATAATCTGGTTTAGGACTCATTGGACATGACTGCCAGAGACTGACTAGTGCTCCTAATCCTAATTTCACCTCTCAGCAGCCTACACTACCATGTATTTATTTTTATAATATCTTATAATACCTACATCCATGTTTTATACACAAAGTTTTCCTATTACAACCAATGGTATCCCTCAAAATATAGAACATATTTAGAATTTTTTTAATAAATCTGCTCTCACTCTGCACTTTTTGTTTGAAATGCATTTTCTTCCATTTATTCAATTCAAACTTGATCCAACTGTAGAGATAACAAAATTAAGGAAGAAATTCATGATTTTTATTTCAACTATTTCCACCTCCCCCATTTTTGTTATAAATTCTTAGTGATATATTTTTTTCATTTTTTCTATTTCATTTCAGGCAACATAGAGTGAGGACATGGAAAAGAAAAATTCAACATTGCTGACAGAGTTTATTCTCACAGGACTTATATATCAACCAGAATGGCAAATCCCCTTGTTTCTGGTGTTCTTGGTAATATACCTCATCACCATGGTGGGAAACCTCGGTCTAATTGCTCTCATCTGCAATGACTCTCACCTTCATACTCCCATGTATTTACTCCTTGGAAGTTTGGCCTTTGTGGATGCTTGGATATCATCTACAGTCACCCCCAAGATGCTGGTTATCATCCTAACCAAGAGTAAGACGATATCACTCTCTGAATGCATGATTCAATTTTTTTTCTTTGCATTCGGTGCAACCACAGAATGTTTTCTGCTGACAACAATGGCATATGATCGCTATGTGGCCATATGCAAACCATTACTTTATCCAGTGGTTATGACTAATAGACTATGTACCCGGCTAGTAGTTTTATCATTTGCAGGTGGTGGTCTTCATGCTTTTATTCATATAGGTGTTTTATTCAGATTATCCTTCTGTAATTCTAATATAATACATCTCTTTTACTGTGACATCATGCCATTGTTTAAGATTTCCTGTATTGACCCTTTCATTAATGTTCTGGTGGTTTTTATTTTCTCTGGGTCAATACAGGTATTCACCATACTGACTATTCTTGTCTCTTACACACTTGTTCTCTCTACAGTCTTAAAAAAGAAGTCTTTACAAGGCATACGGAAAGCCTTCTCCACCTGTGGAGCCCATCTCCTCTCTGTGTCTTTATACTTTGGCTCTCTTCTCTTCATGTATGTGCGCCCTGGATCTGCACAGGCAGATGGCAAAAACATAATGGACTCTCTGTTTTACACTGTCATCATCCCTTTGTTAAATCCAATTATCTACAGCCTGAGAAATCAGAAAGTCTTAGATTCATTGGCAAAAATGTTAAAGAGAAATGTTTAAATCCCAGAGTAATGTATATTTTCACTTTTATTGAAATAGTCAAAATGTTGTGCAGATTTAATGTAGCTCAGTTTCAGTTAGTGTTCCATTTTTTTTTTTTTTTGCAGTTACAATTGTCCTATTATTATAAAGACTTAAGGTGGGAGTACCAAATAAATACCTTAACATATGTGCATATTTTATTCAAAACCAGAAAATTTTAAATCAAGTATTTATATTATACTAAAACAAATAAAATGTTTTACATTTGTTCTTAAATGTTCTTAATGTGGCTTCATAAATGCATTAAGCACAAAAATAATGTAATTTATCTGAACAGGACTTATTCTGATGTCTTTGATAGTAATACGGCTGAGCAGCCTGAAGAATCTAATCACAGTTAACCCTCAGTGGAGGCAGGTTTGTGTTTGAGTGAATAGAGGCAAATCACAGGAATGCTGGCAGCCATCAAAAGGTCTTTCATTCCATTATAGTTGGATCATGGTGAATTTTACTTTTGGTGGGGATTCATATATCAAACAGAGAAATAAACAATAATGGAAATGCAGTGAAGAAAGAAATGAAAATAGAGTTAAGACAGTAAAGGTTGGGCCAAATGATAAGAGAATACTTCTAACCCAATGTGCTCCTGAGGGACAAGAAAAGCAGAATTGTCTCTCGCTGTCTATGATGCTTGAAAGTTCCTTTCCAGCTGTTTGTATTTTGTAGAACAATATGAAGTACTTTACTATTCAGACTTGATTAAAAAATTTATTGTAATTGCAATGGATATAGAGGGGGGGAAAAAAAGATGGGATAGGAAGGAAATGGTCTAAAACTTCCTAGAATTATAAACAGGAAACTAATAAGATAAAGAAGTCTGCAATATAAATATAAAGGTTATTCAAAAGTTTTAATAATGAGAGGGTTCAAATGCATGTTACCAAACTTTAAACAATGTTAAGATATAACGTCACAGTGGTTAGAGGATGTCAGGAAAAGACATAAAATCAGCATGCTTTCTCATTTCTCAAACATTGCTATTAGATTATTCTTTATAAACAGAGATATGGTTAAGTCCTATCTCTTTTTGATAACTTGAAATGGATCATCGTTACTAACAAATTATATGCATACTGGAGTCTGTGTGCATAAAAATTCGTGCACTTAGGGGGGTGGTCCCCTCAGCCTGGCCTGGACCAGGACCCCTAGGGGATGTCTACCTGCCAACTTAGGCCTGCTCTCCAGGGATAGGGCCTAACCTGGCAGTCAGACTTCCCTCTGGCAGCCTGGGAGCCCTTGGGGGATGTCCAATTTTCCTCTGGGAAGCAAGCCTAAGCTGTCAGTTGGACATTGTTAGCACCGCAAAGGAGGCAGGAGAGGCTCCTGCCCCCACCACTGTGCTTGCTTGTGGCTGAGCAGAGCTCCTCCTGTGGGAGTGCACTGACCACCAAGGGCAGCTCCTATGTTGCGCATATGCCCCCTGGTGGTCACTGTGTGTCATAGTGACTGGTCGTTCCTGGTTGTTCTGCCATGAGGGTCATTTTGCATATTATCTTTTTATTATATAGGATAAATATATGTACATAGATTTATGTCTATATATGCATTTTATGTTTATTTATTTATATGTATATAGATGACATCTATAATACAAAAGAGCATAATATGCTAATTAGACCAGATAACTTCCCAGATGATCTTCCAGACCACCTTTCAGATGAGGCCGCAGTGGTAGGGGCCAAGGCAGAGGGAGCTGTGGCGGCGTAGGCCGAGCCCCTTGCACAAATTTTGTGCATCAGGCCTCTAGTTATATATAAACACATACACACACACACAGATAGATAGATGTATATATTATACATATAATATAATATATATATATATATCTACTTCCTGGAATTTTTTGAAGTCCTTTCCAGTAAAACAGGTTACACTCTGCAGTCTCTTTCTCCACAAATTTCCTAATTGATCCTGTTTTGGAAAATAGGAATTTCTAGAAACCTTCTAGACATGCCATTCTTTCAAGTACTTGCTTCTGTTAATACAGGTCTCTCCACAAAAAGACCCCACCCACCACCAAATAACCCCATTTTCTTTTACAATTAAAATGCTACCTTTTCTTTAAAATCTATCTCAAGTGGTATAGCTGCCACGATGCATTTCCAAATGGCCTCGAAGAGGATAGGAATTCTTCCTCACTTGAAATATTCAGTAGTTTATTTGTGTTTATTGATTTTTAGAGAGATGAAGGAGGATAAACAGAGATACATTGATGTGAGAGAGAAACATTGATAATTGCCTCCCATATGCACCCTGACCAAGGATGGAATCTACAACCTAGGTATGTGCCCTCACCAGGAATTGAACCTGTGGCCTTTTGAAGTATGGGACAATGCTCTAACCTAACTGAGCCACCCAGGCAGGGCTATTTATTCCTTTAAGACACAAACGACCTTGTATAATACCTATTTTGGGGTTATAGGATTTTTTAGATTTTATTTTCAAAATCTTAGTACTGTTTCCATCTTTTGCAGTGCTTAACAAAATAGTTTACATACATAGATCCCAAATAAGTATTTGTGAAATATTTATAAAATTGAAATAAATGTGACAGCACAAGTACACAGAATGCAGTAAGAATGCCTTACTACTTTTCAATCTTACAATGTGCCCCAGGAGATTATTGGACATGGATGGCTACTGCATAAATATCTTCATGACAATTGTGTCAGACACTCACAGTGAATTATTCTTGCTCTCCTTATCACTTAGAATAGACTATGATAAAATGTCAGGCCAAAGTTATTCTACAATATTAGATATTTGGATTAAGGATATAAAAATATAACTATTTAAAACTAATATCATTGGTCTATTTCTGAAGGTCCACTTTAAGATTAGACAGGCTCTGCCTTCTTTTTGTTTCCCTAAGGGATACCCACAATTCCCAGGAAAAAGAATGACTATGTCATGGTCCAGACACTTTTATTATTTCTCACCAGAGTTATTTCTCACCAGAGAAACCATGTGATTGCACATATTTGTATTTGTTGTAATTTTTTGCTGTATAATATTCCTGTTGCTCTGTTTTCTTAGGAACCAAGGCTGATAGGCAATCAAAGCCTGATGGTATAGATACCAGCAAATCTGAAGGCCTGAGGACCAAGAGAGTCAAAAGCAAGAGAAGGTCAATGCCACAGGTCAGTCAGTCAGGCAGAGAGGGAATTCAACCTTCTTTTCCCATTTTGTTCCTTATGTCACAATGAATGAGACCCACTAGCATTAGGGACTGCCAACTTCTTTACTCAGTCACTAATTGAATGCTAATCTTTTCCAGAAACACAACTATTAGTAATGCTTAATTGCCTGGCCAGCTTGGCTCAGTGATTGAGCATTGACTTATGAACTAGGAAGTCATGGTTTGATTCCTGGCAGGACACATGCCTGGATTTTGGTCTCGATTCCCAGTGGTGGCATGCAGGGGACAGCTGATCAATGTTTCTCTCTCATCATTGATGTTTCTATCTCTCCATCCCTCTCCCAATACATAAAAAATAATGTTTTACTAGGTGTCTGGACATCCCATGATTAAGTCAACACATAAAACGAATTGTCACAAATCTACCTGTTGTTAACTTGGCACCCATACACAATTTCTTAAACTATACTTAATTTCCAGAAAAAAACACTGCAAGGTCATAATTCCATCTAATCTAGTACAACCTTGATGTGGTAAACTGAAAATACACTAAACACTTCTGCAGAGAAGGTAAAATCCTTGAGTAATGTTTACTTTTCTCCTTTATATCTAGTAACTCAAATACTGTAATGTCAAATTAACAGTACTTAATTTCTATGATATATTATAAAGTCAACACATTTTATGTTATATAAAAAAAGATATTAGGTATGTGTGTGTATGTATGTGTGTGTATATATATATATATATATATATATATATATATATATACCAAAATATATAAATATATGAGTGTGTACAAATGTATTCTTTCAAACTAAGTGATAATACTCATGACAATTACAGTGCTCATTTCTGTAGCTAGTTATGTGATTGTAACTGGTATTTATAATTACCTTCTTTTATTACCAATTCTATAATCTCTTTGCCTTCAGCAAGCACCTCAGCTGGTCAGTTTTTTTTTTTAATATATCTTTTATTGATTTTTACAGAGAGAAAGGGAGAGACAGAGAGCTAGAAACGTTGATGAGAGAGAAACATCGACCAGCCGCCTCTTGCACACTCCCTACTGGGGATGTGCCCGCAACCAATGTACATGTCCCTCACTGGAATCGAACCTGGGACCCTTCAGTCCGCAGACTGACGCTCTACCACTGAGCCAAACCGGTTTCGGCTAGCTGGTCAGTTTTGTGTGTGTGTGTGTGTGTTTTTTTTTTGGGGGGGGGGTATTTAAAACATTTTTTTTTTACCTTCTTTCCTGAGTTGCCCGGGCCATTAGAAGTCCTGCCTGGATTGGTTTGTTGGGGTTTTCTGATTATCTAATTAAAGGAACTAGTACCACTAAGAGATGCCCTAAGTGATTTTAATTTCAGGCACATTTGTCCTTATTTTCACTTATAATAGTAATCCAAATTCTCATTGGTAGTCACACCAGCCATCACAGTTCAATAGTTCCCTTAAGTATTGTCTGTGCTGATGAAAATTTCAGAAAGAAAAAATTCTTAAATTTTATATTGTGCTCTGATCTGAGTAGTATGACCAAATCTTGACCAGTACGTAAAGCATCCCTTTGTTCAGTGTATTCACCCTGGACATGCTACTTACACATCCAGGTTATCACATCGACTGTGTGGTATCACAGTGCTTGTGATCCAGTAATCCTTATTTTACTTAATAATGGCCCTAAAGCACAAGAATAGTGATGCTGTCAATTTGGATATGTCTTAAAATGCTTTCCTTTAGTGAAAAGGTATGTAGCATAGGGGAAAAAATAGTACAGCATATTTAGGGTTTGGTGCTATCTGCAGTTTCAGGCATCCACTGGAGGTCTTGGGAGGTATCCCCATGGATAATGAGGGATTACTGTAACTTTCTTCTTTGCCTGAAGATTCATTGGAATGAGGACCACAGAAGGATCCGTAGAAGTCTTAACTTCCTGCTCAGTGGTAGTTATTGAGCGTGCTGATGAAAACATTCCTCCCTCTGGCTCTAAGACCTCTAGACCAGCAGGACATAAAGGCACGGTAACAGAAAGCAAAGATTATGCTT